GCCTAACCCTAAGTCCCAGAAGGGTAACGAGCTGCAGAGCCTGCCTGCATATGCAGGCCCCTTCTAGTGAAAGGCAAGGGCAGAAATTTCTAATCCCATTGTTTTCTAGAGATGGACTAGTTTACCACTATCCTTGAAACCAAAGTTCAAAGATTCCTCCTACTGTCACAGTACCAATTCCCAGTGATAAGAAGGAAGATATCCTAATAGTTAAAATGATTGAAAACAGGGCCTGGTAAGGTGCTAAGAGGTGGGATGCCTGGGTACAATCTAGAAGCACTGCTGTGATGGTTCTGCCATCACTCCTTAGGTACCAGCTACTTCTGAGGAAAACACACGGTTTTGCTGAAGCAGCTAAGCAGTGGCTCCTTGTGCCTGGACCATTAACTACTATTGCTGCAGGAAGTCAGGGACCCCGAACGGAGGGACTGGCTGAAGTCGTGACAGAAGAACATAAATTGTGAAGATTTCATGGACATTTGTTAGTTTTCCAAATTAATACTTTTATAATTTCTTACACCTGTCTTTACTGCAATCTCTGAACATAAATTGTGAAGATTTCATGGACATTCATCATTTCCCCAATCAATACCCTTGTGATTTCCTACGCCTGTCTTTAATTTCTTAATCCTGTCATCTTTGTAAGCTGAGGAGGATGAATGTCACCTCAGGACCCTGTGATGATTGCATTAACTGCACAAATTGTTTGTAGAGCATGTGTGTTTGAACAATATGAAAACTGGGCATCTTGAAAAAAGAACAGGGTAACAGCAATGTTCAGGTAACAAGAGAGATAAGACTTCTGGCCACCGGTGAGCCAGACGGAACAGAGTTATATTTCTCTTCTTTCAAAGGCAAATAGGAAAAATATCGCTGAATTCTTTTTCTCAGCAAGGAACATCCCTAAGAAAGAGAATGCGCCCTGAGGGTAGGCCTATAGATGGCCCCCTTAAGGTGGCCGCCTTTTACGGTCGAAGCCAAAGGGATGAAATAAGCCCTGGTCTCCTATAGCGCTCCCAGGATTATTAGGATGAGGAAACTCCCGCCTAATAAATTTTGGTCACACAGGTTGTCTGCTCTCAAACCCTGTTTCCTGATAAGATGTTATCAATGGCAATGTGTGCCCGAAACTTCATTAGCAAGTTTAATTTTGCCCCATCCTGTGGTCCTGTGATCTCGCCCTGCCTCTGCTTGCTTTGTGATATTTTATTACCTTGTGAAGTATGTGATCTCTGTGACCCACACCCTATTCATGCAATCCCTCCCCTTTTGAAAATTGCTAATAAAAACTTGCTGGTTTTACGGCTCTCCGAGCGGACACCCAGCTTTAGATTTCTCTCTCTTGTGCTCTTTCCCTTTATTTCTCAAACCATCTGAGATGCCTAGAAAATAGAAAAGAACCCATGATAAATATCGGGGGTGGGATTTTCCCCCGATATACTATGGTTACTACTATGGTTGAAATTTCTGGTATAAAAAATCCAAACCACTTCAATGATCTATGCTCCTAGGTACTAAAAAGTGAGTTCTTCAACATAAAGACAGACAAATAAAAGGATTCAGTACCAGACAAATCAGAAAAGCACTGAATGAGAAGTTCCACAAAAATCACAGCTACTCATGTTCCATATTCTCTCTCAGGACATAATTTATCCTCTTTGCAAAGAACTCAAAGTAAAGTAAATAAAATGGAGAAAGGTGTTTTCTTCCCATATCTAATAGAACGATCTCTTGCAAATCTATTCAGTTGCAAAGACAATTTTATATCAAAGGACAGATGTTTTCCAGACACCAGACTATGGACAGTTCAAAAGAGAACTTGTCAACATGTTTGTTATTCCTATGGTTTCTAAGTGCTACTACTTTAATACTCCAATTATGAACACCATAATGAATCTCAATTAAAAGAGGCTTGCCAAATGTCGCTCCATAGATCAAGACATCTTGTTATTGTCTTTCAATTTACTTCTTAAATGTACAAATGAGTCTTCATGTCTGGTTTAGACATAAAAGTATTCTATAGCCTGTGTTCCCCTAAGAAGTTTATCTTCAACTTGATTACTTACTCATGTTCAGCCATATCTGGTAGATAAGCAGCATTCTCTTGTGATGGATGGGCCATAAAAACAACATCAAGATTTGTAAAAGCCCCTGCTTCAATTAAATCAATTTTGCCACCACCATCTTCTTCTGCAGGGGTTCCCAGGACAATTACCTAGAAAGAAATACTCATGTCAGGGAAAAACAACAAAATCCTCATAGGAAAACATCAAACAGGTTCACTTGCATATGTATTCACAATCTACATTAAAGTCCTTAACCTATTAAGAGAGGTTTTGTTCTATGACGCTTACGCAGTGGGCATCAAAAAATGGTGCTAAATTAATCACAAAATGTACACTGTTATACCAACTTGGTGCAAAGTATGTACTAAAGACACTATAAAAAGCTTTTCCCAATTTTACAAGTCAACTGACGGCAAAGATAGAAAAAAAAATACTGTAAGTTTAGTTCCTCCAAATTTGTTAGGATTTGTTTCATAAAGCTTCCTCTCGACTAAGCCTTTTAGTGTATGTATATAATTATTCTTAAGTACTTTATAGGTCAGGAACTTTCTGGTAACTTGCTACTTATCCTCACAACAACCCTGTGAGGTAGGTGGGCGATCTCTATCATCATTTTACAGGGGGTGTTTTTGAGGAATTGAGTGAAGTGTCTTGCCCCAGGTCACAGAGCAAGTCTTCAAGCAGAATTAGGATTAGATGTCCTGACCTTCTGGCCTCAACTCTGATTCTTTACTGGGCTACCTACTTTAAAACTCTTAACTCATTAATCCTTTATGAAGAACATTAAACAAGTCTTAATGCCATAGTTAGAAACAGCCAACTATTACACAAACTTACTAATTCGATTCCACCAGTTCAACCAGGCAGATTTATTGGTCACCAAACACCTAATTAAACAAAAGAGAACTTTACAGAATAAACATTTTACTTTGATATTTAAGTTTAACTTCTTCAAACAATTTTAAAAATCAAAATAAACAACTAATATATTTTCAAGATCATGTATAAGAACACAATGAAACAAGCTGGAAAAAAGTCTTGGCTTGGAAAGGAAATCAACTTAAATTCCATTTTTAGATAATTAAAAACTTAACCTTGCTAAAACTGAGAACAACCATTTGAAATTAGAAGTGTGGGCTGGGAGCGGTGACTCATGCCTGTAATCCTAGCACTTTGGGAGGCTAAGGCGGGCGGATTACCTGAGGTCCGGAGTTCGATACCAGCCTGGCCAACATGGCTAAATCCAGTCTCTACTAAAAAATGCAAAAATTAGCTGGGCATGGTGGCACGCACCTGTAATCCCAGCTCAGGAGGCTGAGGCATGAGGATTGCTTGAACGCGGGAGGTGGAGGTTGCAGTGAGCCGAGATAGCACCACTGCACTTGGCCTGGACGACAGAATGAGACTCTCCAAAAAAAAAAAAAAAAAGTGTATTACAATTTCCCAAAGTCTAGCTTTTTTTGGTGGTTCTAGCGGTTCTACAGTGCTCAAACTCTGACATGAAGTTGCTCTTTTTTTTTTTTTTTTTTTTTTTTAAGCCGGAGTCTCGCTCTGTCGCCCAGGCTGGACTGCAGTGGCGCAATATTGGCTCACTGCAACCTCTGCCTCCTGGGTTCAAGCGATTCTTCTGCCTCAGCCTCCCAAGTAGCTGGGATTACAGGCGTGAGCCACCACGCCCAGTTATTTGTTGTTGTTGTTGTATTTTAGTAGACACAGGGGTTTCACCATGGTGGCCAGGCCGGTCTCGAACTCCAGACCTCAACTGATCCGCCCACAGCTCTTCATTCTTAACCCCTTAACTCATTAAATACGATGTGCCTCTCGCTGACTACTCAGAACCTTTCAGAAACGCGGTTGAAGCGAAATCTTTCCAGTATTTTGTGACATGGCAAAGGATGCTCCCCCCAACCCAAACAAAAACCTAACAAATACAAAAACAAGCCCCCAGAGACAGAAAAGAGAAGGCAACTAAAGTGAAAAAGCCACAAAAGATGTAGTGTTAGGATAAAAGAGGAAGGTTACCGACACTGGGGAAAATGAGCTAAAGAGTATGAAAATAAAACATTTGTTTTCCCCTTAACCTGAATGACGACTGAATCTTAGCTCACAGTGTAGAATATACCATCTGGAAAAACAGAGTAACACAGGATTAAACTTGCCCCACGAAAAACATAAACGACATTTCCCCGTTTAAAAAGACGAGATATTTCTTAAAATCATAAGACAAAAGAAAAATTAAGACTTAAGGATGTATTAAGCATCTATGTATAATGCTCATTCACTTCCCCTTTATTTGTATACTTCTAGGGGTTTGGTGGTTTAGCGACTGAAAATTCCTATCCAAATACCAATGACTTGGATCACAACATTTCCCAGGACTGCCACAAACAAAAGATTTGGAGACGAATAAAAAGGGGCCGTACGATTCCCTACAAAAAGTTATTTCCTTCTGGGATTGATGGCACAACCTTGTCAGCAAATTGCGGTGGCCTCTCAGTTACCAAAAATAACCCCGTAACACCTGTCTCTTATACACATCTAGATGTGTATAAGAGACAGCTACTATGGTTGAAATTTCTGGTATAAAAAATCCAAACCACTTCAATGATCTATGCTCCTAGGTACTAAAAAGTGAGTTCTTCAACATAAAGACA